GACCTTCGGTAGGCTATCCTTTCCTTCTCATCCTTCCATCCCTTCTTGTTGATGAAGGGTATCTTTGCAGTGGTCTTGAAGGCATCAGAGAGCACAAGCCCGGAAGCATGGTCAAGCAGGGGACAGTTCTGATCAAAGGAGGTGCGTGTGTATGTAATGCAAACATAATACACTTTGGAAGTTCTTCAGCACGTGGGCATCACAGCTGCAGTGAGGAGCTGCCCTGTGAGCCCCTCAGTCCTTTTCTTCCTTTCCCCCAAGCTGAAATGGGATCTGTGTTTCATCCTTTTAAAATTCTGTTTACTTCAGCATTCTTCTGCTCCTGCACTGTATTGTCCCAGTGGTATCTGAGCAAAGGACAAGCTCTGCACCTGTGGCAAGTGCCCATTCAGTTGTTCCAGCTTGTGTATTAGTAACAACTCAACCCACGTCACTGCTTGCTGAACCCGTTGAACTCAGGTAGCTTTGAAACAGTGCTGATTTGGGTGTCCCAGGTTTCTTGCCTGGGTTAGCTGAGGTCTGGAGCGAGGTGGTAGACACCAGTGTGGGGGGGGAAGGGAGGAGAAGGGGAAGAAATAGGAAACAAAAAATAAGAGGTTAATGAATATAGGCTGAAAAGAGGTTTCCAGGGAGATGTTGCAATTGGGAAACACAGCAAGGGGATATCAGCTTTCAGCTCGCTCCCTGCTGCCCAGTGCTTGTTGGTGGTGCTTTTATTTAGATGTGAGTTAGTGATTAGCGGGGAGACAGAAGACTTCAGTCTCACTCTGGAAATCACAAGGAGATCATCTCAGTGTACTTGCACTGCTTCTCCTTCCTACCTTTAATCATCTAGACCATGAGCTGCTCAGGGCAGAGACTGCCACTTGATGTATTTATTCAGGGTCTAGATTCATGGGTGCCAATCTCAGTGCCATAAATAATCTCAATTTCTTCAAGAATTTTTAATGCAAATTGGCAGAAACTGAAGAGTTATGTAGACCTTCACTGAGTGAAGATCAGGAAGTGTTCAGCTTATGAAACTTCAGCTACAGTAGGGAGCAGTGCATAAGTGTTGCTGTGCAAAACCTTCAGAAGGTCAGGAGTTTGCTGCAATAAGAGCAGTCCGAGCTCCCTGATTTGTGAGGCTTTATGTAAATAGCCTCAGCCCTTTACCTTGAATGGAACTTTTTGTGGACTTAGTCAAGTAAGTCGCTTTTCTTCATATTGGTAGATCTAGCTGCTGATTTGAGTCTATCCCTGGATAATGGAGAAGCACAGGTTAGCGACACATTATTCTTATGTTGTATCAGAATGTGGATCTAGCTGAGTTCTGGGGATGCCATCCTTGTTGTCCTCAAGGTATTGGGTTAATAACCAAGATGCCAGCAGGTGGTGCTCAAGAATATTTGGTATAGCTCCTGGCTTTTGTAGGGCAAGCCAAAATGAGTGTTGAACATTGCCAGCAAATTTTCCCATTTCTTATTATACAGCATTTTAACAAAGTGTTCTGCAGCAGAGGGGAAAACAGTTCCAGTTCTCTGTGCTTTTTGTTCCTCTGTACACTTGTGTCCAGCCAGAGATACCTGCATTTCACATAAGCTCCATCCAAATAAAGCTGTATTACCAGCTTGGCTCTGCCACCCCTCACTGTGCCAGGGGACCTCTGTGCAGGAGGGTGACCTTTTCCCTTCTGCTGGAACTGCCCTCGTTGCCCAGCAAGAAATAAACAATTGCTGGCACACGTGGCCCTCAGAGCCATGTACATCCCTGCCATAGCTCCTGCTTGGCCATAAAATAAGTGATTAGTTGGGTGTCGTGTGGAAAAGGATTGAAGAACAGAGAACTAAAACTTAACTGGCTATTAAGGATTAGAGTTAGTTCTTTTTTCTAATGTCATATATTTGCTGACAGGAAGACTGGATCTCAAAAATACAGAATGTGGCAAAGCAGGGATGAGGTTTGGTCATCAGGATGGCCAACTTCATCCTGTCCTTTTTGGCTCAAGCGTGCTGGCTGCTTTAAGGTATTCTTTACATGAAGGGTCTTCTTGGGGTCAAGAAAAGCAGCTGTGCCATGCCTTACATTTTTGTGCATTAGAGTTCCTATTTCTTAGTTCTCAACAATACAGTATTATCATCCCTGTCCGGGGAAGTGGTGAATGAGCAGGGCTATAGATGAGTCCATCATGGGATAGAATAGCATATGAAGATGTCATTTAAAAAAGCTGAAAGTTTCCTATGCCGTAGACTCTACTGAGCTTTCTGTTCATAGCAATGTTCAAAAGCTTTTGAACACTGATGGCAAAAACCACTGCCTACAGATTTTTGTCACATGCTTGCTTAATAACATTGGATAAGTAATTTTTCTCATGTGGGCTTCAATTCCTCCTCCTCTAAAAGAGGATTTAGAGTTAGATCCTTGGGTTTCTGCAAGACTTAATTAATTAGAGTGATTTGAGAATGAAGGATGCCCTGTCAGTGTCACTTATTCCCTATGCTGCTTCTTCTTCTGGATACTTATTAAATTCAGTGGTTTTGTTTTAAGAGTCAGCTTAGCAAGGTTTTTGGAATGACGTTAGCTCTGTGGTTCTGGCTGGTCAGTAACTAGAAGGGTCAAATTCCAAGCTGGCATGTGTTATTTTTACTCACATAAGTGGTCTCAGGAGCTGCTGCTTTTAGCAAAATCCGTGTGAAGCTGGATTCCCAACCCAGGATTTTTCTTGTACACATTAATCTTGTGATGAATGCCGTGTGAGCAAGTGAAGGCATCTTTCACACTGTGTTCAGGCAAGGAAGCTCCCTGCTCATGTCCACATGCCTGTTCTCCACTACAGGTCTTTGCCCAGCAGCTTTGCTTTTAAGCTCATGAGCAATTGTTTCTCCCTCACTCCGGAATCAGCGCAGGTAGAATAGAGCAGATGGCTCGGTGTTGGCCAAGTGCACGCTGATACAAAGCAAATTGCTTCTGTATCTGACTGATAGGGTTCAAGCTTTAATTGAGGCTTTCAGCAAGGCACTCAACAGTGAAAAGCGTTCCGCTGAGAAAAACAGTGGCGTAACCATGGGCAAAGGTTCAGGACAGCAGAGTTCAACCTTCTTCAGGACAACATCCCTATTTATTTATTAATTTCCAGCTGCTTTCCCACCATCACTCAAAAGGCTGTGTTCCTTCAAGGCTGTAGCTTGGTGATGCACTCTGATGTGCTGAGATCCGGAAGCAGAGGCTGTGAAGTGTGTGGTACTTTTTGCTGGTGTGCACACAAAGGCGGTTTTCCCTGAGTGTTGCCTGTGAGTGGCTGTCTGCTTTTGTAGGTCTCCCCAGCTCAGCAGGCAGCACAGCTCCTTCTGTCTTCTCTCTTATGTGCGTCAGCATCAGGAGAGCTTTAATTTTTCGTGGCTGTCTCTAAAAAGGAAAGGAAGCCTCCCTTGCCTTGGATACTTGGCTTTCTTTTGTGTTGGAGTAGATCCAACAAAAAGACCCTAAAAAGAGGACTGTGGATAAGCAAAATCGAGCTCTGTGTGATTCAGGTTTCCTAAATACTCCAAGAAATCTGAGGTGATATGGAAGCAGTGCTGGCAGCTTAAAGCCATCAGTGCATTCTCCCTGCCCCAAGGAGCTTGGAAGTACAAAGTTTTTTGCTCTGTTCTGAAATCCAAAACATTCAGTAGCGTCCACAGCATGTTTTGCTGTTCCTCTGCTTTGTCAGTGGCTTAAAATGCACTGGAAGTGTGAACTGCTGCCAGCATGCTTTTGTACTTGCCTGAATTCAATTAAAAAGATAATTGGATTGCTTTATCAGCCTTTACGTGTCAGCCCAATGCCAGCCTCTTCTACCTCCTCCAACAGTGCAGAAAAACCCAGAGCATCCAAAATCTGTTTTTCTGCGTTGTTCTCTTTTCTTGTGTTTCAGATAGGGCACAGAGGTGGCTGTGCTTTGTGTTGAGCATTCTTAGAGCTGCTGCTGTGCTGGGGAAGGAGTGAGCAGCCTGATGGGATGGGCCCAGCAGCGAGGAGAAGGGAAAATGCATGTAGCAAAGCCCCAAACCAAAACTGATCAAAGCAGGTCAACCCTTTGCAAAGTCTGCTTTATCACATTGATGATTCAAGCTCAGCCAAATCTTCGAGCTGCATGAAATGGGCAGTTTTTGTGACCCAACGTGAGCCAACGCAGTCCTGCAGGTCTCGAGGCCCGTGCCTTGGCAAGCCCTGCTCCATGTGCTTCGTGCTGTCATCAGGAGTGGTGTTTGGACTCCAGACATCACTTCCTTGATATTCTAGAGTTTCATTAAGTCACCTCTGGGGATTTGGGCGGGTGGACTTCCTCTGGGCAGCACTGTTTATAAGAGCCAGCAGCCTGCAGCGCAGTCATGTGGCAATGTGGCTGCCGAGGAGCTGGTGGGAGCTGCCTGGAGCTCAGAGCAGCCAGCAAGGAGTGAGGAATGATGTTGCTGGGCAGCCTGAGCATGGAAGTGCTGACATGCTGCTGCAGGGAGGGCTTAAAGACCCAGCCAATGCGTTCCTGTCACCACTGGAGAGTCATGAAACAGCTTCTCTTGAACTTCAAGGAAAGGGAGAAAAAGCGACCTGTGGATCTGTGGGAATTTGTCACCGTGATGAAGTTCATTTTTATTTGTTCTGAATGCAAATTCGTCAATGAGCAACATAGAATAAAACATCTCTGGAATGATATTTTGACCTCCTCACCCCTGTGATTAGCTTCCTTAAAAAGTCCTAGAGCTTTGGAACCAGTGCAGTAGCAAGTACCTGTGGTTAGGCTGAGGAGTAAGGTATTCTCAGGAGAAAGCGGTGGAAAGAAATGCTGTGGAGTTTAAAAACTGGTTTCAAAATCAAAAGAAACCGTTGGTTTTATTTTCCATTTAAAAGTGTTTAAGTACAGCCTTTTAGCAAACAGGAAAGGCAAAACTCAAAATACAGAGCAATCCACTTGAAGGTTGAATGTAAGCATACATCTAAATCAGCAAGATGCTGTTGACACGAGCCTTTCCTTTTCCTTGTAGAAGAAGATATACAAGTACAAGAAGGTGCTCAGCAACCCCAGCCGCTGGGAGGTGGTGCTGAAGGAGATCAGGACACTGGTGGATATGGCGCTGACGTCTCCGCTCCAGGATGATTCAATTCACCAAGCACCACTGGAGATCGTCTCAAAACTGCTCTCAGAGGTATGGCCGTGCTCCTGCAGGACACTGTCACTTTAGATGAGGGACAAATAGTTTAAAAGTTCATGCGTGGGTTTTATTTTAACTTGGTCTTTCAAAATTCTTCTGCTCGTGATTTGAGTGGAATTTGTACTCGTTGGAGAAAAAGAGAATTTGATCCATGTTAGGTTTATTTCCAGAAACAATGTGTTTTCTCTTGAGGCTATGGGGTTCTGTTTGGTTATTCATGGTAAATTTGTTATGGATCTGATTCAAGCCTTATTACAAGTAAGCGGTGAAACTCCCCTTGACTTCTATTCCACTGGGTTTGTTTGCATGGCTGGTAATGCTTGAACAAGGCCAACAATATGTATTTGCTAATAAATTCATCGTGCAACTTTCTATTACAAGTTATCTCAAAGAAAAGTACCCTCCTTCTTCAGAGACATTTACATCTGTTTCAGATAATTAACTTTTCATGGATAGGAAGTATAATGCCAGGCAGGTTTTTGGTGCCCCAGTTCTGATGCAAAGATTTGTGATAACCATAAAAGTTGCTAGCTGGTGTTCTTGCAGTCAGCTAAGATCTTAACAGCCTAAAACTTTGTGACCTCTGAATGGATCATGCTGTGGAGAGAGCCAAAACCACCGCATTAGTCAAAACCAGTGACTTCCAGTAGGTTTATTGGCTCGTACCAGGTCCATTTTAGAAGAAGGAACTTCAGGAAAACTGTAGCAGTTATTTTACTACCAAAAATGGTATCCAACAATTCTTTTACTAATTTTCTTAGAATTCTACAGCCTGGTGGCAGAAAACGGCTTAAGAAGTTTATCACTAGCTTTAGTTTTCCATTTAATTGAATTCTATTCTGGCATCCTGGTGCTTGCTCAGCTTTCATGGCTGGGGAGCCTTGAATCTGATAGTGCTTAGGAAAAAGTGGAAGCTTGTACAGCCTCTTGTACCAGGTGGTATAAGATCTTCCTTAAGAGAATGATTTTAATAAGATTAATTTAATTCTGAAATAAACAATTGCAGCCTTGAGCACTTCTTCTGATGCCTGATGGTAGCAGAGTACAGTGTATGCTGGTGTACCAGCTCAGTACTGTTTGCTCACTCATTTCTTCTGTTTAATCCCTTCAGAACAACAACTTAACCACTCAAGACCATGAGAGCATTATTGTGGTAAGTAACTTTCTGTCCAGATCTGGGGACAAATCTGTATTGGTTGATAACACTTCTCTTACTGCTTAAGCCTCTGTTCTAGAGAAGTAAGGGAAAGCACTTCTATCAATGTCAATAAGTTTTGGGTGGATCAAACCCACTTGGACTATCGGTTTTCATGTGGCTTGTTGTTCCTCTTTTAATGTTTCATGGTAGTTTCCTTGTATGAAACAGCACAGCATAAGTAGGGTTAATCCTCTCTCAAAATGGTCTTCTTACTGGGCTGTAGAGTGCTATGTTTGTATCTGTATACATTCTTTAAATAGTCAAAAAAACATCATTTCCAGATGTGCCCTATAAAACCCTTAGGCTTAGTAGTTTCCTGAGGGGCTAATGCTGCCATACACAGAATGTCTCAATTTCTGGTGGTATGTGAGCAAGTGCTTGTTTTTTGCAAGTGTAGTTACGTGTATGCGCCACTGCAGTTTAACCCCCTGTTCACTTGGTTTGTAGTAATACCCTCCTCAACTTTTATCTCTTCTGTAAGTTGTGTTTATTTAGGCATAGAAATAAGTGAATCAAATGGCAACCTCAGTGTAACAAAATACAGAATCTCAACAATTTATCAGAGAGGTGGAAATTGCTTCCCCATCACTATAATTTAATTTCAGTCACTGGCAATTTCCAGGAGATTTTCCCAGTAATCAAATCTAGAACTTCACCGCCTGATGGTATCACATCTCCTTGGATCTTTCTGCAAAGTGACAAGGCAGCATGTTGCTGCCAGTAGGTGTGAATTGTGTTTAGCTGCTGCTTAAGATACCGTTTTAGCTGTGATCAGTCACTGAGATAAGTTTCTGAGGTGGCATTTACTTCTCTTTGTGATCTGCTGTAGCTTTTGTTTTCCTCCAGTTCAGACTTCCAGTCAGAGCTGTGTTTTGAGGGAAGGACTTTATAACAAAAGATGTCAGGTAGCCCTGCTGTGAGCAGGGAGCTTTGGCTAAATGGCCTCTAAAGGTCCTTACAGCCAACATTTATCAGTGGTTCTGAGAGCTGGCTGCTTCATTCAGTCATGCCCTGCTGCAGGTTGTGCCCAGCCATGAAGGAGTTGGTGTTTTCTGCTACTGTGCAGCTAAACTGTGTTATTATTAGGAAGTACTGCTGTTACTGATATATGTGTCATGTCATAGAAGTACACAGTGATTTGCTGTGCGGATGAAACCATCTTTCCTTCTCTATATGATCCTGGAACAGATCAATATTACTAGTCATCCCTTCCTGGTAAGGGATATTGCTCACAGCTGGGTGATGTGAGACAGCAGGGTTCTGCCTTTAACCACAGGGCACAGAAAGAACACAGGCTTCTCTCACGTTGTCCCTCTTCCACAGTGACTGTACAGGCAGAGTTGGGACGCGCTTGATAAAGTCTGTTACCTACATCCAGTAGGGACTGGGCTGAACGAAACAGCTGAACAAAACAGCCAACCAGCTCCACCTCTGAGGCAGTGATCCTCTGGCAGTGGTCACACAAACACAAAGACGTGGGGTTTTTGCATTGCCTGGCTGGTGGAGGTTGGCAGGCGCTATGCCTGACGCTGCAGGAGGTGAATTGAAAAAAGTTCTTTAGCTTGGGTGTTGGGTGGGTAGCAGAGATGCTCTAGTCTCATTGCACAGCGTTGCCTTCTCCATCGGGCCACTGTTGCTGTGCTGCCAGCAGAGGTAGTGACTAGTTACATGTAGTTGGCACACCAGAATGAACAGAAGCTTCACAAATATTACATGGTAGCCCAGACAGGTCTTGCAGGTGCATATGGGTTTCATTGTTGAAATTCACATTAATCTTAACCTGTTTGCTTGTGAACGTGGCTGTTGTGAAACACATTTTGAGCAAACTCACTGAGGCTGAAATACTGAAGAAGATGAGAGGGAGAGCACAATGCAAAATAGGCTACCATAGTAAAACTGCAGACGCCATCCAGATAAAATATCTGGTGTTCAGTTGCTCAATACAAAATGTCCTAGCTGCTATGTTTAGAGTCTTTTAAATGGGTACTGGGAATCCCTTTAGCTCAAGATTGGAAAAGCCCGAAGGCACCATCATGTAGAGAGAATACATTGTTCTAGTACTGTTTTCTAATTTACAAGGGAAGTAACAACAAAGTAGGTTCATTATGCTCTCAGTGCCAGGTATGACCTCCAATGTATTTGCTAAGCATAACCACATTGGTTTTGCACAGCAGCAAAAGAGGAATGATTTCAGAAAGTTAGATGTTTGATTTTGATAAATAGGGTCTTTCCAGGTAAGATGAGTGCTGTATTTCTTTTCATGATTTGTTGGCTGTGTGTGAGCTTGAACTCTTTCATAAGAGACACATGTTTGCTTGAAGTTTTTCTGTTGTATCTTTTAGAGAGATGTTATTACTGAAACAGTGAGGCAGAGTTGTCCTTGCTGTTCTACATACCAAAACAATGGATCTGCTCTTGTTTTCATTCAGATCCTTAAAAAAAAGTGTTGTGGGTTTACACTGGTGTATTTGAAAGCAAAGATTTCCAGAGGGTTCATAGTAAGTGTAAGCTTACACGTAAAATGCACAGCCCATCTCTAATTTTATATAGATACTTTTGTCCTTTTTTAAAAGTGAAGTGACCTCTCTTTTTGGGGAAAAAAAAAATCCCCTTCAAAAAGCTTACTGCTGTTGTAGTCTTCTAATTAATTTACTTCTCTCTTTTTCTAAAGGCAATTGCACCTTTGCTGGAAAACAACCATCCTCCTCCCGACCTCTGTGAATTCTTCTGCAAGGTATAAAAACAACCTTCTGAAATCTCCTGCTTGTACCTGAGTGTAGTTCCCAGAGGGGGTTTTGGTTTCTTCTTTAAATCCTTACCTCATGCCCAAATCTTCTGGTCAGCAATCAGTGATATTGAAATAGCTGACAGCAGCAGTCTGATAAATGGATCCATATTTTTACTGCATCAGCCTGCATAGTACTGATAATTTATAAGAGTTCAGATCTTCAGACTCCTCCACCTCGATCAGGGTACATGAGTTGTCCTACTGTGTTCTATTTAGTTAATGCAAAATCACTGAAGTCAGTGGGTTGGTAACGTGGTGTGTAACTCAGGCGTAATGGTACTGTGTCATTGGGTAATGTCAGCAGAAAGATCCTAAGGACTCGTCCTCTTTCCTGGTAAATCCATGCTTCTGCTTGCACCTTTTCTGTACAGTTCGGAGTATTTTGGATTGCAAAGCTTTTGAATTTGTAAATATTACTTTTCTTCTAGGTTTCTTTGTGTTTCAGATTTAAGTCTGCTTTAATCTGCTTGCCGATGAGTGGATGTACATTTGTCAGACTGTCTGGATCTTGCTTAAATTTCCTACCCAGAGTTACTTGTTAGCAGTCACACTGGAAATTAGGTCAAATTTCAAGAAACAGCACTGACTTTGTTTCACTTTTGTAAGTCAGCCTTAGGGCTATTTCTAGACTCAAACTGAAATACCTCTAAGACTCTTGTTGCCCGCCTCCAACCTACATGGGCACTTTCATATTTTTTCATGCCTTTGGTCTCCCTTCAGAACTTAATTATCTTTAAAGGTATGAGACAGGCTTTGTACAGTTGCAGCAAGGGAAATTTTGATTACAGTCTACGAACTCTCCTTCCTTAGAGATAATCAGAACTTGAGTGGGCAGGTTTAACGAGCAGGCTCACGTGTCTTCAGAACTAGCCCTGCCTCGAGCAGAAGTTTGGACCAAATGACCTTCAAGAGCCCTTTGCAGCCCAAATTACTTGGACTGAGGGAGACCCACGTTGCTAATTCTGCAGCTCACTCAATGACTTGTTCCTTACAGCACTGCCGAGAGCGCCCACGGTCAATGGTTGTGATAGAAGTGTTCACACCAGTGGTACAGCGGATTCTCAAACACAACATGGTGAGTGCGTGCTTTACAGGAACCTGGGCAAGTCAGAGCAATCTTACTGTGACGTCTTGTGTAATGAGCAACTGCTGTTTTGTCCATAAGGCACGAAGCAATGTGACACCAAAAATCAACCCCCCCCAGTGTGAATGTGGCATGTAATCACGTATTGCTTCGTAATACAGAACTAATGAGCATGCAGTGGCATTCAGGCAAAGCTGTGATTCGATGAGTGTTTCTCTGGGCAGCAGTGCCAACTCGTTCTGCTCCAGCTTTCTCCCACCTGGCTCCTTGTTTACGCTCTGCATGTCATCCTTACTGTTATATTGGTTTAAAATCAATTAAAAAGCAAAATCAGAATAGGGGCTTTTTTGATTTTTGAACAGAGACCCTGAACATTTTATCTTTAAGACAGTACTAACTCTCTGCAATTCCATTTTTCCTTAGACTCATGTCCAATGTATTCTTATGCAAATTTCCTGAGTTTCCTTATGTTTTCCTACTTGTCCTCCATACTTCTCATTCCAGGCATTATGAACTCCTGTCATTTAAGTGTTCTTTCCTAGGCTGCTTTCCCTCTTCATGTTGCCAATCAGTTCCATGGTAGCGATTGGAATAAGTGCTGGGGACTGCCCAACCAGCCTCTCTTTCCACCCTGTATACCAAATTTTCTCCCTTCACTGAACACTGAATACATTCTTGCATGATGTGTGTTCCTTTCCAAAGGGAGATCGGAGTGCTTACTGGTCCTCCATTCTTTGAGGCATATTAAATTTCCAGCCTTGGTTTTTATGTTATGCAAACAAATTTTACTTCACAACGCTGTGGCAAAAAGTTAACAAGCAAAATATTTAAAGCAGTCAGTCTAGCTGTGATGTCAGGGATGGGTCTCATCCCTCTGTAACTACAGAAGCAATTCCATTTCATTAACTGGTATAATTTTGGAAACCATCCCGTCTTCCTGTGTACAGCATGGACCCAGTAGAAAACAGTTCTTATTCCTTATTTTTATAACAGTATTATTTAACTCCTTGAGTTTACAGAACTGGCTGGGAAACCTAAGATGGCGAAAAGGTCATATTCCTGGCTCTGTGCCTGTGCTCTCCAGACATGTAAACATTTTTGAATATTCTGTAGCATTCAATGAAATATTCTGTAAATGTTATTCTTGGATTTCAGGCTGATTTTTTTTAAAGAATCCAGAGCTCTTGAGGGGTCTCAAATAAAATCTAAATGCATAGTGTAATGCTTGTATATGGTTAGCTTCAGAGAATTGGGTATATTTACTGTACTTAACATTTGCAGATTGAAAATCAACATGTCTGTACCGCAGTGTGTAGTCAGAGAATTTACGGTGTCATATATTAATTGGAGTGGATTTGGGCACTTTACTACTCTCTGGGGATTTCTGTACTGAATAGTCTTTTAAAGAATGTGTGTGTGTGCATGTAAATAAAGTAATCCTTCAGGGAGACAGTGCTGTTGGCAGTAAACTTCATAACCTTAGGAGGCCACGTGCAATTTAGTGTGCTTAAAGCAGGAAAGCTGGCTGTCTGCTCCAACCTTTGCCACTACTTTCCTCTGTAATCTCTGGTAAGTTGGTGGCAAATTCTGCTCACATTTTCACACTTATAAAACAGAGAGAGAGTGCTTTATTTGTCTATCGTGCTGAAGTCCCAAAAGAGTAAGGATAGCATTTGTCATGCTGATGCTCACTAGTAGGTGTAGGCTGGGGATGTGCTGAGTTGCTCTGGAAGTGCTTGAAGCCTCTCTGCCTTCTGATTTCAGCTCTTTGAGGGCTCAGCCCAAATGTTTGAATACAACCATTATTGCTTTATATCTTAAGGATGAACAGTATGGATAGTGTACATCACTTAGCACCTGATGTGGTGACAGAGCATCATATTATTTTTGGAGGTATTTTATTGTAGAGCTTCCAGCAATGACATCCTCTTTGCAATCTCTTGGGCTTTTGTTCCAATTTCAGTTATAGGGCACTTACAGGGTTGCAAATATTCATACACTGTAACTGCATGAGCTATCGTGTAAGGAGTTCCCATGAAGTTAAATGGCACCAGGGGAGGTATGAAGTCTGTGTGATCTCGTGCTGTGGAACCAAGTGCATTTGCACTGCCAGGAGGAGCTGTTAGATATTCAGTGGATTTAATTATAATACCAACTGTGAAATCACTGACAGTCCTTTTCCTGTGTGAAGTTACCACGTATCCATTCAGCAGTGGCAAAGAGCGACATGGAGATTTGAAGGGATCACTGTTCTGTCTAGGCTTGCACTCACATTTTTGGTAATTTTCTCTAGTTGTAAAACCTATCAGATGTTATGCTCTAGAAGTCCCTGAAAGCAAGATAAGTAACAGAAGCTGTTGGCACTTTGGAAGCATGTCTTCTCTTTCACAGAGCCCTGGCATGTTAACAAAGGTGCCATTTAGTTTTTCGTGTTGACTCCTCTTCCCCATCCAGGTGCTGGAGGGAAAACTAGGAGGTATGCAGTGGGTCCTGCTCAACACTTAGAAATTTAGTTCTGCAGCTCTGTAAAACCTGTATCATAAGGTTGCACCTTCAAAAATGTGAAGAAATGTGCTGAGGAATAGCACTTATCAGACAGCAGATTGTACTCCTTTCACATCTCAAAATAGCATGGAAGGTGAGGAGACGTGAGATTTCAGTTAGCAGGTGCCTTGCTGACGGCAGGACTGAAAGCAAGCAACTGTTGAGCTCACCTGTCAAATTCATGTTGTACCTAAGGTAGAGATCCCTAGAGAGAGAACTGATCTGTGTTTTATACTTAATCACTTAAAGGTCATGTGTCAAACAAGATTCTCACTTAAAACAGAATAGACAGTATGTCAAATATTGAAGTAAAAATGCATACGTAAGTTGCCTTTCTAAGAAACTCCCCACAGCCTTCTGTTCTCCAAGCTAGAGCTCAGCTCCCTCAATCTGTCTTCATAGGAGAGGTGCTTCAGCCCTTTGATCATCTTTGTGGCCCTTCTCTGGACCTGTTTCATCAGGTTCACATCCCTCCTGTTTTGGTGGCCCTGGGCTTGGACTCAGTACTCCGAAGATCTGAGTGGAAAGAAAATTGCAAAGCATGCCATTATTAGGGAGCAGCGCATTACTTCAGCGTGCAGTGGTACTGTGCTCCTGAAGCTGTCAGCATAGCAACAGAGTGAATTCAGTTGTGTTTGAATGGATTTCTTTTGAAAACCCACAATTTCAATGTACATTGCAAGCATGTTTCACCGTCTTCACTGAGTCTCTCCTTTTTGGACAGGATTTTGGGAAATGCCCTCGATTGCGTCTGTTTACTCAGGAGTACATTCTGGCTTTGAATGAGCTGAATGCTGGAATGGAGGTGGTGAAGAAGTTTATTCATAGGTTAGTTACATTTAATGTTACGCTGTATTTTCCAGTCCTGTCTGCATGCTTATTTCCATTACTTCTCCCAACCCTGCTCATCTCTGTGCTTACCTGTGAGTAGCTGGTTCAGTACTGGCAAACAGTAGATAAGTGAGAGGTGTCCATATGGAAATATTGCTGAAAACTTTTTTTTAGCTTATTCTCAAATATATGAGAATATATGGGGTTTTCTGACTGTATACACACTGGAGGTGAATGGACACCACTGTATGTACATTTCCATTATACATTGAGACTCAAAGCCTTTATAGAGAAATTCCCATCAACTTTAGACCCCATAATGCTCAGTCATGTGAGCTTTCAGAGGAACTGTAGAGATACCACATTGAATGAACTGAAGAAGCAACTTGGCCTTTGTCTGAAGTAGACTATTTGATGGCGATTCACAATGTTAAAATAACTCTCTTAGGACCTTCCTTAGGATTCCCCAAGACTGCCTATTCCAGCACCTCCTTCTGTCTGACTCTTTTTGCCCACAGAAATCTTCATTGCAGTGATGTCGTCTTGGCTTTTGTTTTTCAGCATGCACGGTCCAACGGGACAATGCCCCCATCCTAGAGTTCTGCCAAATCTTGTAGCTGTCTGCTTAGCAGCCATTTATTCATGTTACGAAGAGTTTATCAACAGGTCAGTAAGAATCTTCAGCTCACCCTGTATTTCTCACTTTCAAACCCTTGGCATCAAAGAGTTTTCATTCAGGCTGTAAACAAGATTGCTGTGAGCATGGGTGTGTGGGAGCGTGTCTTCATTCTCACTCCACCCATTGCTAGAAGGGGTTGTGTGTAAATCCCTGCATATCCACAGCTTTGAACCTGAGCTGGTTTCATGATACTGTCTCCATTATTGTGGAAAATCTGATTCCTGACTTACCACAAGATAGGTGCTGCAGCTCCTGACACACGAGCCAGTTTCCAGTAGACACGAAGGGTTCCTGTCTGCTGTGTTTCCTGTTTGTTTATGGCTATCTGACTTTCCTTATGGTAGAGCACGGACAGGGGCTGCGTAGTGTCCAACAGAAATTCCAGACACGAGGGCTGCAGACAAGTGTCTGGGCATGCACTGTAGCCAGATACATACTTGGGCATGGATCCTGTTACAGCTTTGCTCAACTTCGATGGGAAAGTTCACCTTTATACTAAACTGGCATGTCCACTGGACTATTGAAAAGCTGAAATCTTTGTAGCGTAGGGGCTGCAGAGTAGTGCTGTTACAGCATTTTACTATTTACAGTTGATTTCAATAATCCAGTCACAAAGGAGAAAGCAGTATGGTGGGCTAGGGTGAAAAGCAGTGGGAAATTGCGACAGATCTTGGTTTCTCCGTGTTTCTCTCTCTGTCCCACTCTTCACTGTTATGTCTGGCTATTGAAATTATTTGTTTATTTTTAAAATTCAGTCGAGACAATTCGCCAAGCTTGAAGGAAATTCGGAATGGCTGCCAGCAGCAATGTGACCGAAAGCCTAATCTCCCCCTCCGCCTTCTTCACACGAGTCCTGACCTGGTCTCTCAGGAGGCTACCTTGACTGAATCCCGGCTCAAGCCAGTCATTGTCACTTCAAATGAGATCCATGTGGAAGTGGAGCACAACAACAAGGCTAATCAGAAGATGACAGCCAACGTGGGCAATGACAGCGAGCCCAACCTGATTGACTGCTTGATGGTCAGTCCCACCTGCAGCACCATGAGCATTGAGCTGAGCGCCCAGGCAGACAGGATCCTTGGCTGCTATGTGGAAATACTCAAGATGCTGTGAGTAACTATTTTAAACAGCTTTTTGAACAGTGTCATCTTAGCAATGGGGGAGCTTTTCCCACAGGCCTCTCTTCTTCAACATCTGTGGCCAGCAAGCACACGGTTATAAATCTAACTCCAGCACTGGCGTCTAGCCTCTGAAAGAGACATCTGGCACTGCCAATACATTCTAAAAATAGCATTAGGAAGATGAAAAGGGAAAGCTTATTTGTACAGTGAGCCTCACGCATGTTACAGAAGACAGGACGTTGTTGCCAGTGGTTTCTGTTTTGTTCTTAGCTGCCAAAATAAAAGATCCATTTATCTCCTCCAGGGCTCTTGGGATTGCCCAAGACAAAGCTCAAAAATGTAGACCCATGTTAGGCATGTGGCTTGTGCAGCAATATGCAGCACTGCTGCCTTGGCTTCTTCAGGAGCTGGATGAGGACAGTATTTGTCATTTAGGTATTCTCCTTGCATGTTTGTAGAATTTTTATGGCCTGCTCAAATTTCCTTCTGTTATAATAGATCCTCTGTTTGTTGATCGATTGCTTTGGTACAGCAAACCTGTATAATGAACGAGTGCTCAAATAACCTTTACTGTATGATGGCTTCATAGTTTCCTGGGAGGCAAATCTTCTGAATATGTTCAAGAGGAATGTAAAATACAAAGTTCTCTGGGAAACGCTTTCTTATCTCCTGGATAAATATATAAATGAAAGAAGGAGTAAAACAGAAAGTGGACTGCAGAATAGAAGCTTGTAATGGAACATATGTTCATGCAGGAAAACAACCTGAAACAGTTTTGTTGGCTTTGACATACAGCTTTCCTACTGTGTTGCAGTATGTCTATAGGCAAACACTAATGATTTTTAAACAATGAAAGGCTTAATGAAGTAATAGTTGGTTTTTTTTTATTTTAATATTACACAACAGTGGGTAAAATTCAGACTCCTCTGTAAACTGTATTTAACTACAGTGGAGTCAAGTGCTAGCCTGGGTGCACATTCTCCAGGAACTGCATGAAGTCCAAATGCCGTAATGAAGGATTTTGTGAAAGTTTTCTTTCCCCACATTTTCAGTATTTTCAGAATATTTAACACCAATTTTAATGTAATTACTTCACTCACCGTTGAGCTGTCTTGCAAATACAATTGTAAGGACAAACAGAGTTGGAGACAGGACAAATGAATCCAAGGTACCGTTCCCATTAGATTCTTGGCCAGGAGGCTGCTGAAGGATAATTTTTGTTTCCTTACCCTATTCTCTACCTTCAGGAATGTTAGCATTTAGAATTGCAGGGCATCTGTCTTTCCTCCATCTCATGGTTTCTAAGTTTTCATGCACTGAGACCCAGGTGCTGCATTAAACATGTTGTGTATTTATTCCTGTCCCCATGACTCTAGATGTTTTCCATAAACACTGTGAACCCTTTCAGTCCTGATGCTGGCTTGGATGCTGACTCATTAAGCACTGACGGTTTTGGTTTCATCACGCAGCTGACACACACTTACAAACAAATTTGCGAACAGGCATGTTCTCCTCACAGTCTCTCTAAATTTTCAAAGTTTGATATGCCAGGTCTCCATTCCCATATTACTTCCTGCACCAAGAACTCTGTATTTCATTCTGTACCTTAAAACAATTTTTAATCAGTTTTTATGTTTTATTTTCACGATCACAATTGATGCAACTTCCCTTAGACTGCCTCGCCGGAACCCACACCCTGCTTAAGAAATCACAACCTGTGAAAATACAAGGCAGTGTCTAAGCCAGCACCACAGCTGGTTTATATTGTCACACAGCTCACAGTTCCACTGATTTGGGTTCCCTTCCATTCCTGTTTGTCCTTGGATTTATTTTTTATTTTTGGTCCCAAAAACATTCATGCACAAATGAGTTCCATTCGTGATTCTGCTGCTAGCTTACTGGGAGGTCTTAGATGAGTTGCTTTTTTCATGTGCATCATTTTCTTTATTTGTAATATAATGGTAAACTAAATAAAGCATTGGAAAAGCACTGTAGAAGGGCTAGTACTTACTGACAGAAGTGCTGGACAATCCTGTTACGATGCTGATTTTTTTGCATGCCCAAGCTCTTCTTGAACAAAGCCTTTCTGAGGTACTGAACACTGTTACTGTACTTTGAAAAATGGAGAATTTGAAGAAAGGGAGTTGGAGATCATGCCAATAGGAAGAAATCATTCATTATGAAAACAACAGCTATCCAGAAGCTGAGCTCTCAGCGGGCAGCCACTAAAATAATGTTCTTATTAATAACAGTGGTAAGCCAAACATAAATAAGTTGCTTAGCATTGAATTTAATTGTTCTTTTAGGTGTCTGACTCAATATCATCATTAAAACAAGAGAGTCACCAACAATGGTATTCTTTTTTGCATAATTAACTTAGGGCAGCAGGGAGTAATTTATTTAGGCAGATTTTAATTATTGAAAGTCTAGCAAATGAGAATTCTTAAACAGTTTTCTTCAGCAGAGGACTTTTTATTGTTCACCTAACGCCTACATGATACATACTTTTGAATAAAAAGCTTCTAATAGTGATTAAAATGTAACAGCAATTATTTAATAGCCACTGTAAGGCCTCACTTTTTGCACAGAAGGCTAAATGTGCAGATTAGAGAATTCAGCTGTTTGGCTGTATTCACAGCACTAGAAATATCTTTGAACCTTTTGTAACATGGTTGAGTAACAATACACAACTATTGCATACTACAGGAAAACATGAAATCATGGATTGAAAGATGTTGGCAGAGGAAGGGCAGTCTTTAGTGGAACATAGTATTTTTGTCCTGCATTCAGAAGTGGATCAAACTCCTGTGTCAATATCCCCTAATGCAATCTGGATTCTGATAAGGTTATTGATGCCAGCCTGAATGCTACGGTCTTAAATTGGTGCTTAGAAAATGCACTAAATTAATTGAAATCTTTCCGTGCATCATATTGAATCTGGGGATCTGAGAGCTGCTTAGCATTGCCCAGCTCCTTACTTGAATGCTAATCTTTCTATGCATTAGGGAATTTCATGTACAGTCGAACTTAGGCTTGAACATCACATCTGTGGTTAGAAAAATTTGTGGTAAGCAAGGCTGTATGTCCTCTTCTATGGAGTGAATAGCATCAAAACCTGATGCGCTCCGAAGAGCTCCAGATGGCACTTGGTGCTGTACCTAACAGAGGGCCCGGGGGGCTGTTTGCCTGCCCCAGCCCTGAGCTCTGCCCCGTGTGGTGTGATTCAGAGCAGCTGGACCCAGGGGCACACATGATGGAGGACTTGGCCATCTTTTTACTATCAGGTAACAAAGAAGTTGCCTAAAAGATGTTTGATCTTGCCAAGCCTCTTGATCTAGAGAAACAAGCTATTTCTGTGTAGTTGCTCCTTGTCTCCTTATTGTGCACTAAAAACGAAGAGGATTTGGGGCTTGCCGTCTCTGGGCGGTAAGACTGCCAGCCTTCCAAATGCAAGTCTCTGCCGGAGCTTCCCCTGCCTTCCCTGCATTCCCCAATAGGTCAGGGGCATGCTCTGCATATCCCAAGAGGATTCTCTTGTGTCATGTTTATCAGGGTTGCCCCGGGCTGCTAATATGTTTTGGATTGTTTGTGCCGCACATGACATATGGGCAGGTTTTCATTTTGGTGAAAGGTGATCCCTGGCAAGGAAAATGTGTTATGTCGACAGGCCGATAGCAACGATGGCCCGAAGGCGAAATCACTGTGGAGGGGGATTAGGCCATGACAGGTTGGCCAAGGCTGTGGGCTGTCCCTTCAGAAGGGCTGTTTGTAAGCCCGGTCATGGGGTTTGAGCTCTGTGCAACTTGGCACCCATTGAGGGGCTGTAATGGGACTTTGTTCTCCAAGCCCTCTCCAGTATCTCCGTGCTCCATCCCCTCCTGTGCAGCCTTAGGGCCAGGCTTCTCAGCTGGGGCAAACGGTGGCCCTCCCTCACTGCTTCCAGCACCTCTGCTATGTGCCAGAGCTCTGAATGGGCCCAAAAAGAAGACAAAAGAGGCAGCCCTCTGAAATGAAAGGAGAAGTCAGATGAGATGAGCGCAGACAGAAAGAGTGTTTTTGAAAAGGGAATAGGTGGGAGGAGGAGAAACACCGTAGGCTTTTAATAAGTAGTTTAGTTTTATTCTTGTGCTGTGTTTGTTTCATGTTTCCTAGCATAGATTGAAGGGATTACAGGTTGTGTAGATTTTTTCTTCAGGTCCCACTCATGTGACCAAGTTCTGTGTTTTTCACAAGAGACAGATTTCTTCCTTTTTTCTGCTAGGAAGATACGCGGTGGTTGGTTCTCTCAGGCTTTGCTCTGCAAATGGATGCAGCACGCAACTCCCAGCTCTCATCAGGGTGATGCTTTCCAATTCTGTCGGCAGCGTTGGTCTATTACAAAGCAGCTTTTTTTCTGCTTGTTGCAATTTCCTTTGAAGAGCAGCCAGGAAAAATTGATTGGTTCCCATTATTACTAATCACGGTTCTTCAGATTGCTCAGGGAGGAATTTTAGTGGTGTAACACTTAAACTGAGATGTCGCAGGAGCTAAGCCTCAAAGTGCATCTCAGGAGAGATTGGTGGATGCTTTATTTCATGTGATGTGAAACACCTTGAGCACCTTCTGAATTTTCTCATGCAACCTTTTGACATTTGGGTCTTTCCTGCTCAAAATTCTGCCCATGAAGTTCTTTGCACTACACGGAACAAAAAAAAACAGTCATTTTTGAAGGGAAATCAGGTGCGATTTTAGGAGGAATATTCAAATGATAACAATAATAATAGAATGGGTTCATTAGATTTGTCAGTTCTTTGAGGACACAGACTCAGGAGCTGAAGTCCATTCCCAAGAGAGCATCATCTTAGAGGTGTTAGCTCAGCACCTCTGCAAGTGTTTCGTGACATTCTCTTTACACAGGCAAAGTGGGAAAAATGGTTCCATGTAATGAAGCCCTGCCTCGCCTTGGGCTGCTTGGAGTCACCAAACAAAATTGGTCATCTTCACAGTTTGTTTAGCATCTAATGATAGTTGGACCAGATGATCTTAGTGGTCTTTTCCAACCTTAATGATTCAGTAATTTAAGTGGGTAATGGGGGTTTTTGCCTCTGCAAAAGAACTGTGTGATTCAGCAGTCAGTGCTCGCTGCAGGTAGGTGTAATTCAGAGTTACTCCTAATTTAAACCAGAGGACAAAATTTTTGAAGGAGGAGAAAATTAGGCTCAAATAGCTTTTAGACCAACTGGCATGGGCATGAAGTTTCTTTTTTTGGATTACTGTAGCTTGACATGCGTTATGCTTTGGTCCCTCCAATGCTAAAGATAACATGAGGAAAATAAACAAGTTGTATTTATCAGGGGACATAGCCAAGACTCTCAGATGTTATTTGTTTAGTGTTTTGAGAAGAACCAGCACTAAGATTTTTGCCTTGCAGTGCCTCCTCAGCTGCTGGCCTGACTGCCTTAAAGCTCCAGCCTTGTCCCTAAACTCATTTCTGGTCATTTAACCAGTGCAGCTGCAGGAAGAGACAACCCCTTAACTCAGCACGATGTTGTGGTTCTTACTTAGCCTGTTGGCAGAGGAGTTTCAGGAGGAGGGTGGGAAATTACATGCTAGAATTGTCTGAGAAAGCACCTGTGAAAAGGGCAGGGCTGTTTGCTACAGATAGCTACCGAAAGGCAAATGGCACGGGAAATAAAAGTGCACGCACTGAACGCAGAACTTCTGTAGAGTAGTGAGAACAAAAAGCTAACTCATCTCACAGTGCTTTTGTACAGCACTCATCTCCTCTTTAATATAATAATCTACTACCAGATCCTAGTTGTTCTTCTGAATTGGTTACTTGCATGAGATATTATATATTTTTGTAACCTGGAGTCATACCACTCTTGGGCAAGCGATAATTGCTCCTCTGATTGACTTTTTAAATGCCAGTTATTCCTTTAAATAAGATTTCTCTGTACATTGCTTCATAAGAATTAGAATGCTCAGGCACATAAATTGTCTCTGTGTCCATGAACATGCCTTGGTGGACTGTCCAACTTCACGTCTATTAACCTGTTCTAGTTTATGGAAATCACTGTTTCATGTCATTCAAAAAGTGGATGAGACTTTTGGAAATGCATCCATCTAGAACCTTCTCTTTGCAAAAAATGCATCATTTTGGAATGGTTCCTGTGCATATGTTGTCTGTAATGTTATCAGTTGTACTGTCCATTTGAGAACATTACGCTTCGTTCCTTCCTAAAGAAACATCATACTTCTGTGCCAAGTTTGCAGCAAGCTGCAGCCAATAAGCTAGCTTTTGAAACTGAAATCCAAAGGGTAACAGCAGTGAGAGGAGACTGTAGGATCTACTTAACTATCTTCTACAGCCATTCCAAAGTATTTCACCCCAAGAGATGACATGCTGCCAGGTCGCTCCACACTGCCCAGTGTGTGCTGTAAAACTGGATGTTCTCTTTGCCCTATGTCAGGCAAGCATCCTCTTAGGGATGCTCCTCCTAGAAGGGCAGTCCTGTATATTGAAAGCAGATAATAATAAATAATACACAGCTGGCAGCTATGGCACTAACACACCAGAGACATCCCTTTTGAGGTCCTTTGGCCTGAGCCCTCTGCATTGGTTATCCCCATCTGTCCTCTTGCACTCTTAATTTTGGCAGTGCTTCCTTCTCTAATATCCTCTCAGCCGAACAAAGGTCTCTGTCCTGTTTAAACTGACCTGTTCCCTTGTGCCATGTTTCCTCTCCTCTCCTCTCCTCTCCTCTCCTCTCCTCTCCTCTCCTCTCCTCTC